CATACATTACATACATACATTACATACATACATACATACATACATACATACATACATACATACATACATACATACATACATACATACATGCACACATACATACATACTTACATACATACACACATACATACATACATACATACATACATACATACATACATACATACATTACATACATACATACAAACATTACATACATACATACATACATACATACATACATACATACAGTACATTACATTACGTTAAGTTACGCTACATTGCATTACACTACATTACATACATACATACATTACATACATACATTACATACATACATTACATACATACATACATACGTACGTACGTACGTACATACATACATACAATACATACATACGTACAGACATACATACATAGATACATACATACATACATACATTACATACATTACATACACACATACATACATACATACATTACAATACATTACATTACGTTACAGAACATTACATTACATTAATACATACATTGACATACATTACATTACATTACATTACATTACATTACATTACATTACATTACATTCCATTCCATACATACATACAATACATACAATACATACAATACATACAATACATACATTACATTACATTACATTACATTACATTACATTACATTACATTACATTACATTACATTACATTACATACATACATTACATTTCTTACTTACATACATACATACATTTATACATACATACATACATACATTACATACATACATACATACATACGTTACGTTACGTTACGTTACGTTACATTACATTACATTACATTACATACATACATACACACATACATACATTGCATTACATTACGTTACATTACATTACAGTACATTACATACATACATACATTACATACACACACATACATACATACATACATAACCTACGTACATACATACATACATACATAGATACATAGATACATACACATATATACATAACGTACGTACCTACATACATACATGCATGAACTACATGCATACATTACATACAAACATTTCATTACGTTACATACATGCGTATATACATGCTCTACAGTGCACTACACTACACTACACTACACTTCACACTACACTGCGCTACACTACATTACATTACATTACATTGCATTGTTGCACCCAACATCACAAAACATGCACATACACATATACATATGCACATGCATATACATACAGACGTAGGAACACAAGAAAGGCAAGCGATCAAAAAAGCGGGAGCGCGGACAGGCAAAGAGGCAGGAGAGAAAAAGAAAAAAGAAGAACAAATGCAGTCTCACAGGAAGGCAAGCTAACAATCGGGCGGGCAGGCAGGCAGACAGGCAGCTAGGACCTAGGAAGACAACAGGCCAGCCGGCGACGGCCCAAAATAATTAGGGGAGGGGTCGTGCCCGGGCGGGAGGCGTCGTGCCCCAAAGCACCGACAAAAATCAGCAAAACGGGCCACAAAAACCGCATCACAGAGGAATCCCTCATCCCCGCGTCTCCGCATCATCCAAACCGGCGCAAACGTGCAAAACCCAGAAACAGTCAACAGCCCGAAGTAAGGCCGGAGCGGTACCTGGGAGCACCGTTCGGGTTGGACAAAAATACAGAAAACCATCTCCGGGAGCCCTCAAAACAGCGGCAATTCACTTTACGGGTTATCCCCGCAAAGTCGGGAGTTATAGCCGGTCTCTTCTGTTCCCCCCTCTTCTAGCAAATCAAAGTCAACCTCAGAACGACACTCCCATCTACGACTTTCTGCGTCCTCCTCCACCGCGTGCTTTGCCCGGCGGCTGTGCCAGTTTCCGCTTGAAGCAGCTCCAGGGGTCATATCCCAATAGGCCGGCAGGTCGGCAGACAGACGCACAAGCAAGAAAGCAAAACAGGCAGGGCAGGCAGGCAGGACAGCACGCAGGCAGGCAACAGGCGAGCAGACGAGCAGAACAAGAAGACCCGCAAACAAACAAGCAAGCAAAAAAGCAGGCGCGCAGACAGGCACCAGGCAGGAGAAAGAAAAGCAGACAAGCAGTAACACAGGAAGGCAAGCTAACAGACACGGTGTCGGGCGGCGAGTTGTGATCTTGACGCACGGCGGGCGGCGGGCGTCGGCGGGCGGCGGGCGTCGGCGGCTATGATGTCTGACTCTCCGTGCTGCGATGTCTGACTCTTCGCGCGGTGATGTCTGACTCTTTGCGCGGTGATGTCTGACATTTGGGTCTCTGACTAGGAAGTCCCCAAACAAAGGAAAGAAACCCAACCACAAGCACATACAGGAACGTCGCAAAAAAAGGAAGGTACACACTGCCAACGGCAGACCGGGGTCTACCTCACGAACAGCAGCCCGAGAATCCGCAGACCCCGGGTCTACCTCAGAGACCAAAATACCAAGTAAAGAAACACTGCCAAAGGCAGCCCGAGCATCCGCAGACCAAAGGGCTACCCCACAAACCAACATACAAGACAGTCCTCCCGAAGCAGTGGCCCGAGTATCCGCAGAGTTCGGGGTCTACCTCACACAGCGACATACAGACGGTCCCCCAAAAACACAAAAGAAGACTTTTCCAAAGGCAACAACAAAGCAAAATTGCAGGCCCTACGGCTGGGCAATCAAAGCTTGGAGACAGAAGACCTGCGATATTTGTTTTGTTTTTTTGTACAAGCCAAAAAGATCTCCAGTTTTCAAAAAAGAATGCAGGCCCTATAATCCAAGCTTCGGGGCATAGGGCCTGCATTGTTTTGCTTTTTTGGGAAGACTCAAGATTTTTGGTTTGTTTGCAGCAACCTCGTCTGCAACATAATGCCTTCAGCTCTGCGACTTTCCCAGCCAGCTCTGCATTCAAGCCAGCCTTAGACATCGAACAGATTGTCCAGCTTCGCTTGGGGTGGTTTCAGTCGACCCAGATAAAATGCTTAACACATGTTGTTTAGATGCTACTGATTTGTAAGGACAGTTCTATTGGGAAGGAATTCCCTGTAACATGCATGTTGAAAAGTAATAATCACAATCTAAAATCGAATTTGAACATTTGAGTTTGATTGGAGCCTTTCCCTTAATAATTTCTAGCTCATTTCAGTTTGACATTGAGCAAATACTAAGTAGATGTGAGAAGGAAAGAATTCAGAGATCCTAAAATTGTGTATTTGGTTTACTCGGTCAGAAACACTGTGCAGCACAGTGTTTTGTAGCGATCTTTATAATCAATTCACATCTCCACCAAAGGACTCAAAAGGAAATACTTGATCAGCACCCGACTGGAAGTTACACTTGATAAGGAATGACTCCAATCAGAACTTCTGTTTCACGATATAGCTTGAACTGGAATATGCCTATTTTCATTGATAATGTACACAGTATGTTCTTTCCAATCGAACTTATAAAAAGCGCAGCCCCCAGGAACCTGAAAAACGCAGCCCCCACAATAACCCACCCTAGAACTGAAACTAAACCATCCCAAAGACAACTCCGAACAAACCCTAAACCATGCCTAAACCAGCCAGAAACTAACCCCAAACCCAGCCCTGAACCAATCCTAAACCAGCCAAGAACCTTAAACTAAGCCCAAACCCAGCCAGAAACCCGAGACTAATCCCAAAACCCAGCCCTGAACCAACCCAACAACAACCCTAAACCAACCCTACACCAGTCAGCATTGTAGCGGCTCGCATCCTCAAGTCAGCTGTGCGCCGATGAGCATCATCCAAGATGGCCGGAACAGTACCTGACAGTCCTCAATCGCCCGCTTGCCTCTTCAACATGATTTGGAGAGAAATCCTCAATCGGGTCACCCTCGAGCTCATCAGGGTAGTCCTCAATGGTGTCATAGGGCCAAATGCAACACTGGTCAAACTGATCCCAGGGACCAAGAATGAGCAGCATCAGGATGTACCTCTCCGGCTGAACGGCCGTCAAGGGGTGGGCAAGATTGATGAGGCTCCTGTCCTGGACAGACCATAACCTCTTCTTGAAGGGGGTCATCCTCATCGACCTGCTGGGCTCTTCAGGAAGTGGACGTAACCGGCGGAGGCGCTGCGCGCGGCATTGCCACGCAGGGCAGGGGCCTCGTCGTCTGCGAAGCCGGGCCCACGGCACGCGGCTCGCTCCGGCACGAAGCCGAAGTGGGGCAGGTAGCGGGTCACGACCCGCAACCGGGTCGCCAGCCACAGCTTCTAGCTGCTACGGCTGATGTACACGATGTGATCAAAGCACCCGGCAACACAACTCGGGAACTCGGGGGAGCTGAGGTTGATGACCGGGTTGAAGGACGTGACAGGTGTAGAAAGTACGCTGTTTGAGGGTTAAATGCAAAACAAGTTGCAAGAAAGGAAAGCTTAAACACCAGGCCCAGGAAAACACAGCACGGCGTTCCGCCCACCCCCTACCACCAGCAGGCCCCTGCTCCGCGAACCTTTGGACGAAGAAGGATTCTGCTGCCGCAGTATGGCAAACGAACAAACACCCTATGCCGATGGGAGGCATTAAACTTGAGCCATGCGGCCATTCGGCACGTATGTTTGTTGAAACAACACGTGAACAAAACACAAAATTGATGGGCAGGACGACGGCCGCCTGCAGGGTTGGGAAACGAACAACTGGCCTCCAGGCACCCAAGCCACTTGCTGGTGATGCTTAGGGTTTGCTTGGCTCTCACCGAAGGCACAAAGGTCGCGTTCCTTCAAAGAAAAGCAAACAAAACCATGTCGGCCACAGAGCCTTTGTTGCGCTTTAACCATTGCTTCCCCGCGAAAAAAAACTCTCTTGTGCGCCGCATATTTGCCGCGTGGTCGGGGTGCTGCGACCCCCCTGCTTGTAGTTTTTACTGCTCTTCGTCTGCACCAACCGAAACAACGGCAACCAGACGCTGAACAAACCGAACAAATCAGCCCCAGACCGACCCTAAACCTGCTCTAATCCCTCCACGCAACCTAGCCAACCCCAAACCCAGCTCAAACCAAAACTAAGTAACTAGTGACTTGCTCCCTGCTATATCAGCTAAGCTTGTTGCAAGCCAACGACGCAATCACTTTGCGCACTGCACAAGCACCACGTCAAGGCTGGCGCCTCTGTACACGTGAACTGACTGGTCGCCATGGTCCTTCAAACCCTTCCGACCAGAGGAACTTATTGAACTGAAATGAACTGAAACCACTGCTAGAAAGCAGATCAAGCACCGGAAGTCCTTTGAGCGCTTGAGCGTTTCTCAACATGTAATTTCTCACTAAGCCTCGAAGACTCCCAATGTGCGCATCGCGCCATGGAACGGAACATGGAAGCGCTTGGCCCAGCGGGTCTAAGCAAACCCATACTCTAACCTGCGGATTCCGGAGTGCGCCCCGACCGCTTGGCCGCTTTCGACTTTCTCCACTTTCTCCACGTTCTCCTCTTTCTCATCCTTCTTCTTCTTGCCTCATGAGACAGGCTCCCATGGCAACAGGACAGGGGACGGGCCAAGGCACACGCTTCTGCGCTTTGGTCGCCGAAGGTGCTCCAAATGGCAAAAGCTGCAGTCCTCACGCGCGCACGTCGCCATGGATTCGTGCGAGATCCGGGTCCTCCCCTTGATTGCAGCCGGACAAAGAGTAGCAGTGGAAAGAGCACCTGGCAGGGACTGGGACACGACCTGAACCCTGGAGCTCGCTCAGCGCACGGTGTACAGCCATCCGGGTGGAGCTGACTGCCACGACTTGGCACTTCCGCCTCACTGCAAAACTGCGGTACGGCGCAAGTAAGGATCAGGCTGAACCTCACGTCAAGTTTCACAGGAGATTCGAAGAACTGACTTTGGTTCTACAAATCTCGTCCTCTGCTGCCTCACAATTCGACAAGGCAAGCGCCTTTCATTCACAAGAGACACTTGGCATCTTCGCTATTAGACATATTATGTCTCGTGGCAGTAGCGGGCCGTCTCCAGAATGATGCCACTGGAAGCGGCCGTATCGCGCAAGTACACATACGACGCTAAGCCAAGCAAGCGCATGCCGTACAAACAAGGCAGGGTTGGATGGAAGACTGAGACACAGCCAGGGTCGCATGATGCATGTTGCAAAAGCGCGTTAAACAACGAAACGACACGAACCGCGTGAGCACGAAAACAACAGTTTAGATCTTTTCCGACTGCAGCCCCCGGCAGGACTCTTTTGCTCTGATTGCTCTGGTGTCTCCTCAGGCGTGCGTCTCGCGACAGGTCGAACCTCCTGTCGAACCTGTCAAACCTGTCGACCGAACCCGGCGCCCACCTTGTGGAAGGCTTCCAGCCACTGCACTTGATCCTGAGCGCGACCGTGGGTAAGTGAGCTCCAGCCATTTATGAATTGTAATGGTGGCGCTTAGCCGTATACAGCTCGGCACAAATCCTGTTAGGATATGCGTGGGGGCCCCTTACCCGGATACGCAACGCCTTAGCAAGTTGTCTGTTGAATTCGACAGCTCCAGCTTCAAAGTCGGTCGCTCTCGGACAAGCCTTCAGGATCTTCAGTGTCACGCCCTGGTATGTGGCTCCAGCTGACAGCTTCAATGATTCAAGGCAGCTTGGCCTCCGGTTCCATTCCTGGCAGCCCGCCGTCTGATGCCGTCTGATGCCGTCTGGCTGACAAGCAAAGATTTCTCCTTGAAGCATGGAGTCGGAGACTGCTCTTGGCAGCAACCTCAAGTTGCTCTTGGCGTCGTCGCTGTTGTTTCTTCGTTTGGTACATGATTTGGTACATCCTTCGCATGGGACACCAGGATGCGGGCACAGTGCCCGACTCCACTTCGTCTTCTTGCACCTTGCGGCAATGAGATGTCAGCTGTGACGTGTCCGCAATGCCATCGCGCTCGCGCCTCTAAGAAGGTATTCTTTGTCAGCACGCCGGGGCACTGCGTTTCCAGGGCTGCAAAAGCGGAGGCCTCACAGAGGCTAAAGGCAGCAGTGCTCTCAAACTCGGATTTTGGTGTTGAGAAGCGGGTGCGTCAACTACAAAACGGCTTGACGCAGCATATGCGCCAGTCCACTGGAAGCTGCTGGATGAGCGCCAGAAGAGGCAATCTACCAATCTGCTCAATTTGCTGTCCGGGGCTTACGCCAGCCTCCTCCAGTTCGCGTAGCCAGGTCAAATCAAATGGCACCTGGCTACTCGCATGGGATGGCTGCGCGGACACGCTTCCAACATGACCGCCTGAAGGCGAGAAATGGTATCCTGCTGAGCTTCAGAGATCGTGTTGACCTGGGAGTGGCTAGCCTCAAGCCTACGACCTCTCAGAAGCACTCAAGCTCTCAAGCTGAGCGCACGAGCAATTGCATCCATTTGTCTTTGGACAAAATCATGTACATCGGCGACGCGCCCCTGCTCCCCTAAGCAACAAAGGAGCAGTTCAAGCAATGCAGCAATGACAGATTCGGCGGCCTTCCTGCCGTGTCATGTCGACCTTCGGAGTCATGTCAAAAATGGAGACCAAAGGAATGCACATGTCGAGTCGAATACACATGCCCAAAAAGGCAGCTCCGGTTCCATTTGCTCCTGCCTGTATGCCAAGCAAGTAGAAGGTGCAGCCCACGCGGAGCGAGTTGATGCACAGCAGGTTTGCAAATGTCTGAGTATGCACAGAGAGCAAACATCATGCGTGCCGTGTGTCAAGTAGAAGTTGCTGAAAGTTGCCTCGCCACTCTTCTTGCGATTCTGCAGCAGCCCAGAGAAGCTTTTGCCAGCGCGAGCTGCAGCTCGCATTTTCAACCGATCCTGTTGAGACATAACACACGTGACATCTCACAGCTCTCACAGCTCTCACAGCTCTCACAGCTCTCACAGCTCTCACAGCTCTCACAGCTCTCACAGCTCTCACAGCTCTCACACCTCCTGGCGGATAGCGCAGCCACGGTTCAAGAAGCGGCAGTTCCTGCAATTGGCCAATCGGCCCGGTTTCATTGACTTCGGAAAGCGTCATGAGCTCAGGTCTCCTGCCCAGCACTTCATCGCGCCGGTAGCCGCTCAAGGATTGAAACCCCTGGCGCTTAGAGATTTCCTCGCACAAGTGCCAGAACCGAGCCTTGCTCACGCCGATCAATGGACAGTCTGGCTCCTTAAACACATGCCGGAACAAACTTGCATTACGCCAAGTCTTTGATAGTGTGGTTCGGGCACGGACCTGCGCCCGGGCAATTGGAGAAGTTAGGGAAAACCAGCCACAAAAGAAAGGCCCAAAACAACAACCAATCCCCGGTCCCAAAGATCAGGGGTTCCCAGCAACCTGGTCGACGATGAGCCACACGGGCGCTCCCCACCAACCCGCCCCGGGCCGAAGTCTCTTTCTCCTCCAACGTGGGTGATCGACGTAGGGACCCGGCGACGCTCATCCGAGGTCGCGACGGATCCAAACTTGAGCCAAACATCACGGGGTAGTCACTATCGCGACACACTTGACGATGCTTCCAACACATGGCTAATCACACCCCCCTCACGAGGAGTCCGTCTTCGACGGATCGAGCGTGCCGTTTACTGATAGGAATTAAAGCTCACATTTGTCCGCAAACAGCAATCAGCGGTGGAGCCAACCCACATAGACCTGCCGAAAAGTGGCCTTGGATTTATTTAGGGTTCGTTGAGGGTTTGGATTTGGTTTTGCCTTGTAAGGTCACGACAAAGCCGCACAAAGGAGGGGGGGGCGCTGCAGTCGCTGCACCCCCTCCGGATAAGAACACACGTATGGATAATTTAACAAGGACCCACCTCAAACTGACGGTCCTGCCGGTGATGCTGAGGATGCGAAACGCAAATGCCAGCAAAAGCCATCTGGTTGGGTAGCCAGAAAAGCAAAAACCCACGAAACACGCACAAGCAAACAAAAAAAACACTTGAACACGAAAACAACCAACACAATTCGTGAACAGAACGGCCCGTTGATTTGTTTACGAACATCCTTCTCGTCTCGTCTCTCCGTGCAGTCCTGTGGCTGTGCTAAGGTGACAGAGATAGCGGCATCCTGGCATCCGCCGACCGCCAAGGCTTCGCAGAAGCCGGAGAAGTTACCGTCCTGCACCGGTGCCCACGGACACACACACACACACCATCTATCCCGCCTTGAAGTGACACATGGCCTGCAATGCATCAAATAATATCAAGTACTTGCAGTATTTCTTCTCGTTTGGATCTTCTCTGGCACCTTGCCCACACTGCGACAGTGGGCCCGGCTGAGTCTCTCCTCGGGCCTAGGACTCTGTTCGGCACTCGGCACATCTCAGCACTCGGCAGCTGACCCCTCGCGCCATTGACACTGAAACATCGCGGAACTCCATTTCCACTTGAGCCATTGGGCCATTTCGACGTGTCCCTCGGTCCAACGCTCGGCCAACGCGAGGCCATCGCTTGGCCATCTAGGGGCAAAATAGATGCTCTCTGAAAACCAACATACGCTCAAGCCGCTCAAGCCAATGCATTCGCACATTTCTCATGCTTGGCGAGCATGCTGTCTTGCAAACTGTGCTGAGCCGCAGAGCCATTGAAAGTGGACTCAAGGTCAACGATTGTGACACACAGCTCAAGACTTTGCCTGAGGGATCAAAGTCAACACGCATCCCGGCATGTTCGGTCATGCAATGCTCGGAGATGCTCCGAACAATTTGGTTTGTACATCTGGAAGATGGCAATTTGCCAAACCATTTGGATGTCTCTCGGGCGTGCTTTTCATGAATGATCTGTTGAGGGAATGCAACCAACATGCCCCGGAGATCCAGAAGGCTAGCGCTCGACACTCCACTTTTGAGGCCAAACGCAAGTGCGGCGCAGTGCCGCATGCCGCACAGTGCACTTGCACAGACCTTAAGTGCTTGATGCAATGCTGCAAATATGCCTGGCAAATGGATTGCAAGTGCACGCATGTATAATTGCCACTCGCAATGCAATGCCGATGTCTCTGCCCATTGCAATGCTAGGTGCACGGCTGAAAGCTGCTTGCTCAGCCGCCTTCATTTTCCACTAGTTCCTTGGTGCCAAACCCCGTGGCACGCCGTGGCACGCCGTGGCATGCCGTGGCACACCCAACATGCCCAGCTGTGCTCCAGTGAGGCCATTGCCCAATCCGGGCCCTGTCGATCTGTCCGAAGCTCAGCAGGATCATCCTGGATAGTCGCAGTGGCGCAACACGGCGGCATGCGCCGCGAGAGGGATGAGCACAAGATACGGTGCTTTTCTGCTTCAAGCTACGACCTTGGTGCAGTTGCAAGCTACGATGTTGTAAAAGCAATGCCTTCCTTTGTCTTCCTCTCCGAGCTCCATTTCTGTCCTCGCACTCCAACAGCACCCAGTCATCCTGGATCGCTCTCGTCTGCTCTCCTGCCGTGGGCGCTGGCTCGTGTCAAGTCCAGTCTCTCCGTTCTCGGTCTCAGTCCTGCGTGGACCTCTTCGTCCGTGCCCTGCGCATGGCAACCGTTCAGACTCACTTCATTTGTTCCCTTATGTTCCCTTCTCATTCCTCTCATTTCCATCGAAGCGTCACTCAAGTCCCGCCTTGGCCAAACGTGCACCGGCCATGAGGAGGCTGGCGGCGCAGAGCTCCAGTAGAGGCATCGCCTGAGCCGATTCCCAAAGATTGAGAACGGGCGAAACGCCACTCCGTGCTGACTTCAACGGCACCAAAAAAGTCAGGCCAGTGAAGCAAAGCCGTGTGTGGGCAAATGTCGTCAAACAAGTCCAAGCCCTTCAAAGTGCCACGCATGGGTGAGAGCCCTGCCTTCCAAGTCACGGCTCCACTATCGACCCTTGACTCAGTCAGTGCACATGGAGCCAAAACTCGGATTTCGGCCAATCACGATACTTGAACTGCTCAGTCAGGTCTCGTCTCATGTCGCAATTTCGCTCTCGCACACTTCGTTCTACATTTGGGTGAAACTTATCCTATCGCAACAAAAAGACAACATCCAATCTGCCAGCAAGAACTACGGATTGCATCTCACCGCAAATATCCAATGGAAATGCCCGTTCCCAAAAAAGAATGGCAATCCGTATCGACGATGCCTTTGTACAGGAAGCATTCAAGAGCCTCGCAGTGAAACAAATCCAGGCCTCCATCGCAACTTTGCGTGCACATCTCGTGAGCTCATGTATGCTCATGTCTCATGACGACATACGTCAAGAGCAATCTGCACTCCGTTTTTCCTTCCGCGCAAGCCATCAATGCCATCAAATCGTCCCAACGCCAAGTCACAACACTGTTGATATGGCGAGGTCGCATGCACGGGGGAAAATGTCGAGAGCTCTGTCTCGCGTGTGAGAAGTCTCCTCGAATTTCACGCCTTAGGCCTCATACGCGTCGGCCCAAAAGTCAGCTGAGGCTTCAACATGCTCTCAGGCGAGCGCTCCGTCTGGAATGTGGGAGAAGTCCAAGCGCCTCCAAAGTACAATCCGCCCCAGCCTCGGCAACTCAATTGAGCTCAATTGCCCATGTTTCCGGAGAACTAATGCAAAATGACCGAGATCTCGGCGAGTCTGCACTGGCCAAAAGCGTATCCTGCAAATTCACGGCCACAGCCACAACGGGCACCTGAGCTCAAGTCTGGCACAGCATACTGCGAGCGTTCCAGCCAATCCGCTCCCTCGAAATCGCGGCTGTCAACATGCACACTCTCAGCTATGCCCCCGAGGATTGGGTGAAGGATCAAAAAACAACTTATTCATTTCGTGGCAGGCGAAGCACTTTTGCAAAATCAGGTACAGATTTCGTGGCAGGCGCGGCACTTTCGCAAGGTCAGGTACAGATTTCGCGCAAGGTCAGGTACAGATTTCGCGGCAGGCGAAGCACTTTCGCAAGGTCAGGTACAGATTTCGTGGCAGGCGCGGCACTTTCGCAAGGTCAGGTACAGATTTCTTGGCAGGCGCAATACTTTCGGAAGATCAGGTACAGATTTCGCAGCAGGCGCTGCACTTTAGCAAGGTCAGGTACAGATTCGCGGCAGGCGCAGCACTTTAGCAAGGTCAGGTACAGATTCGCGGCAGGCCAAGCACTTTAGCAAGGTCAGGTACAGATTTCGTGGCAGGCGCGGCACTTTCGCAAGGTCAGGTACAGATTTCGTGGCAGGCCAAGCACTTTCGCAAGGTCAGGTACAGATTTTGTGGCAGGCGCGGCACTTTCGCAAAGTCAGGTACAGATTTCGTGGAAGGCGCAATACTTTCGGAAGGTCAGGTACAGATTTCGCAGCAGGCGCAGCACTTTAGCAAGGTCAGGTACAGATTCGCGGCAGGCGCAGCACTTTAGCAAGGTCAGATACAGATTCGCGGCAGGCGCAGCACTTTAGCAAGGTCAGGTACAGATTTCGCGGCAGGCGCAGCACTTTCGCAAGGTACGGTGCAGAGTTTGAGCGAGAGAGAGAGCGAGAAAGAAAGAAAGAAAGAAAGAAAGAAAGAAAGAAAGAAAGAAAGCATTCTACAAATCAGCCGGGGGGTTGGGGGGGGCGGCAGCCCCCCCCATGATGGAAGAAGTGATGATTCAGCAAAGGGTGCGGTAATCTCTGTAAACAGTCTGAAAATCAGCGGGGGGTTGGGGGGGGGGCTGCAGCCCCCCCCCATGATGCTCGAAGAAGTGATGATTCAACAACGGGTGATGATGATCGAAGAAGTGATGATTCAGTAAAGGGTGCGTTAATCACTGTCAACCTTCTGCAAATCAGCGGGGTGAGGAAGGTCAGGTACAGATTTCGCAGCAGGCGCAGCACTTTAGCAAGGTCAGGTACAGATTCGCGGCAGGCGCAGGACTTTTGCAAGGTGCGGTCCAGATTTCGCGGCAGGCGCAGCACTTTCGCAAGGTCAGGTACAGAGTTTGGCGCAGGCGCAGCATTTTCGCAGGCAGTGAAGAAAAATATACAGAGATATAAACATGAAGAAAAAGGGAGAAAACAGAGAGAGAGAGAGAGAGAGCGCGAAAAACAAAGAAAGAAAGAAATAAAGAAAGAAAGAAAGACAAACAGAAAGAAAGAAATGATTCAGCAAGGGATGCGTTAAGCTTTGTATACATTCGGAAAATCAGCGGGGGGGTTGGGGGGGGGCGGCAGCCCCCCCCACACGATGCTCGAGGAAGTGATGATTCAACAAGGGGTGCGGTGATCTCTGTAAACATTCTGAAAATCAGCGGGGGGGTTGGGGGGGGCTGCAGCCCCCCCATGATGCTCGAAGAAGTGATGATTCAACAAAGGGTGATGATGATCGAAGAAGTGATGATTCAGCAAAGGGTGCGTTAATCACTGTCAACCTTATACAAATCAGCGGGGTGGTTGGGGGGGAGGGGTTCCTTCCTTCCTTCCTTCCTTCCTTCCTTCCTTCCTTCCTTCCTTCCTTCCGTCCTTCCTTCCTTCCTTCCTTCCTTCCTTCCTTCCTTCCTTCCTTCCTTCCTTCCTTCCTTCCTTCCTTCCTTCCTTCCTTCCTTCCTTCCTTCCTTCCTTCCTTCCTTCCTTCCTTCCTTCCTTCCTTCCTTCCTTCCTTCCTTCCTTCCTTCCTTCCTTCCTTCCTTCCTTCCTTCCTTCCCCCCATAGGAATGAGCACAAGTTTTTTTGTTGATGCCTAATAAGTTTTGTGTTGATGCCTAATAAGTTTGTTTGATGCCTAATAAGTTTTTTTGATGCCTATCCCCCGAGGATTCATGTTTGCTGGTTCACGGGAGAGCTGAACCTGACCAATCTGCCTCCAACTTTGCCCAAAAACACGGTTTTGCTAAAGTTGTGCTTGTGTTGCAAGCCTGACAATAGTAGTGGTTTGCCCGACATGTTCCGTGTCCCGACTGCCTTGCCGGGAAAGCTTGAATTTTACAGTATGGAGCTTCCCACATGCGCAGCACTGGTAAGACCTTCACCTGGTGGTGCTTCAAGTACTGCATCTTGTAGTTTGCGCCCTTGCCCAAGGAGTAAATATGGACCTCACTCGTCACTCCTCTCTACGCGACCCGTGACCTACAAACGCGCCTCCTTATTCTCGGAGCCCGAGATGAGGTAGCCTGGCTACGAAGGCAACAATTCTTGGACGTTTGTGGCTTCGGTTCGGCCTCTGTTGGATGGGGGCTGTTTTGCCACGACTTTGATCCTGCCTTGGCCGGACGGCGAGTAGCAGTTCTTCAGCGGCAGCAGCTCGTGCCTTCGAAAACGAGCTTGGACACGACACACTGTCCGAAGCACATGGAGCTTCATGATCCTGTATGTGTGCCTCCCTGGGCCTCTCTGCAAAATGCGGCAAAGTGCATGGCTGGTTTCCGCACTCCCTCAACTAATTGTAGATCATCACAACTAATTCTCAGCCTTGGCCAAGTGTTGCAAAAATCAATGGTCTGTGCCTATCTACAAGACCTGCATTGGACATACCAAACCTTCGTTTGGGCTACAGAAACGCAAAGCACTCAAAGGCGGCACGATAGGCACATTTGCTCAATTGCGTGTGCTTGGCACGGCGTTCACCACTGACTTTTCTGCTTAGGGTTGGCTTAGGGTAGGTTTTGGGGTTGGTTTAGGGTGTTTAGGGCAGGGTTAGGGATGTAGGGTGGGCTGGTTTATGGTGGGCTCCGGGTGGGTTGGGGTGAAAGTTAGCTTAGTGGCTGTTTAGGATGCGGTCCATTTGGCACGCAACCCGCAAAGCTGGTAGAAGCAACTGACAGCTACACACTTTCCAAAAGACGCCAAAGCCAAAAGCCTTTGCGAGATAATTTCTGATCAGTTGTATGCTTGCGCGTTTTGTGGTGGAAACTACATGCGTGGCTTTTCGAACATTGGACATGCGGGCGGCGAAAAGCAACTCAGTGTGAATAGAATCTATTTTACACGAGCCTACATTTACAAGACTTGAAGTTGAAAATACACTGTTCGGATACTCACGTCTTGACTTCTAGCCCAATTGTGACGCAAGACTATGGCAGTCGTGGTACTGGTGCTGGAATGATTGACTGAGTTGCGCAGGGTGCCCTAGTGCTGAAGCAACGTAGTGAAGCAAGATGATCTTGTAATTACTGCAGGGTGCTGTTGCAACGTGCTGCGGGGTTGTCTTGCTGGGTCGCTGGGTGCTGTTGCAGGGTGCTGTGAGTTCCGGTGCTGTTGTAGTGTGTTCTCGCGTGCTGGAGAGGGTGACCAAGAGTCTTCGGCACAATGCTGCGGCTTTGCCAGGTGCCGCTGCCAGATTTTGCGGGCTGCTGGCACATCAAAAAAGATGTGCATTCAAGGTTGACAATGCCCCGTATCGCAATCAAAACCCTTCTACCATTACTGAATATGTAAGAAGACGTGAGGTAACCAGTTCTGCACGTTGTCAAGTCCCATTCAGGACAAGCTGCGCCACTCGCACTCGATGCCGCACCGTGAGATTTGTGAGGGCCTGGGGCAATGCAAGATTCTTGCGTCATCAAGGCAAACGCACGGCATTTCTGCACTCTGCACTCCCACCCCTGCACTCTCCTGCGCTTCGCGTGATTTACTGAGGCAGCAGCACCTTGATCATACGTGCAGTCGATGATGGAGGCCGAGCAATCGGAGGTGTTCACCAGCAAACACGCCCTGGCCAAGCAGTCGATCCGAGTCGATCGCTTCGTCAGGAAGGAAAGGCTCCAAAGGCTCCGACGGCTGCTGGTTTGCAGCTGGGACGAAGGTAATGCAGGTGACACCTGCGGAGCATGATCGTTGCAAAGATCCCTGCAAATGGCATATGGGCCGAACCGCCGCGTGCCAGGTTCACCTGAGCGAAAACCGCTGGAAACGCGAAACGCGAAACGCGAAGAAAGTTCCCGGTGTGTGATCACGTTGCGTGTCAAGCGCAGACGGTTGCCTTTGTGGCCCGGAGGCTTCGATTCGATACGCGTCCTATGACCTCGAAGCTCTAAGGGGACGCGCAGCTTTCCTACCCGCGAGACCGAAAGACAAGGCCCCAGTAGAGGGGCTCAAGCGAACGGTTTTCAGCTGATTGAACAAGCTGTCCCACAAGACGGAGGTGCGCACACAAGCATCGAGACAAAGGGCCATTGATCCTACTGCCCCTCAACCTAGCATGCTGGTACAAGTTGCTGATTAGGCCACCTGTCCTCCAAAACAGTCATGTGGAGCTGAGAAAAGCCTCTCGAACTCCAGAAAACCTAGCAGCTGCCTACGCAGAAAAAAGCACTGGCAAAGTGCTCCTTAACGCAAACAGGCTCGTGCTTGGAGCCTAAATCTTCTGGCTCTTAAACTCCTAGAAGCCTCTGCGCAAGTCCAGGTTGTCGTTCTTGGGTTTCACATATATATATATATATATATATGTGTGTGTGTATCGCTTCCAAGCATGACTGCCCGCCTTGAACTTGAACTTCAGCGTGTTGGAGTCAGTCGCCTTGGGCACCGTGAACGGTCAACGAGAGGATCAACTTGAGATGGTCAACGAAAGTTGACATGGAGGCTGGACGAGCGCATTATCATAGTCATAATCCTAATATCCTCCTTTTCTATATGAGGCACGGTCAAAATTACTTACTTACGGCCGTTTCGCTACGTACTTTGAGAGTCCCCTATCGTTTTCCAGCATGTCCATCGTTTTCCAGGGGTATCGTTTTTTTGAGAGTCCCCTATCGTTTGCCATGGTTTTGTGCATTTTCACAATATCAACGAAACGACGAATACTAAACTCAACAGAAGTAATTTTGACGGTGCTTCATATATGCATTTCAATACTGACGATGCTATGATGATAGTAGTGAACACAATCATCCGGCATCGCTGTGACGTTAGGCGCTGTTGGGGATGCAGGGAATGCTCTGATGATAGTTACCCATCGTTGTCATCATCATGATAGTGATGATCATCATCATCATCATCATCATCATCATCATCATCATCATCATCATCATCATCATCATCATCATCATCAAGCAGCTTTGTGACGTTGGGTGTGGACAACAAGTAAAGAAAAATGTTCGGCGATGCTGCGGACAACAAGTAAGGCAAATGCGCGGCAAAAAGTCAGGCAAGATGTACGGCGACGCTGTGGACAAAAAGTCTGGCAAAATGAGCGGCGATGCTGTGGACGAGAAGTAAGGCAAAGCGTGAGGCGATGCTGTGGACAAGAAGTAAGCCAGAATCCGAGGCTGTGGACAAGAAGTCAGGCAAAATGTGTCAACAAGAAGTCAGGCCAAATTTACAGCGATGCTGTGGACAAGAAGTCAGGCAACATGTACGTCGATGTTGCGGACAACAAGGCAAAATTCGCGACGAGGCTGTGGACAAGAAGTAAGGCAACATCTGCGGCGATGCTGTGGACAATACGTAAGGCACAGTTTGCCGCAATTCTGTGAACAAAAAGTCAGGCAAAATTTGCGGCGAGGCTGTGGAAAAGAAGCAAGACAAAATGTGCAGCTATGCTGTAAACAAGAAGCAAACAAAAACTTAGCGATGCTGTGGACAAGAAGCAAGGCACAGTTTGCGGCGATGCTGTCTAAAAGAAGTGGAGCAAAAATTGGGCCGATGCTGTGGACAAAAAGCAAGGCAAAATTTGCGGCGATGCTGTGAGGCAAAAAGCGCGGCGATGCTGTTGTGCAACGAGGAAGGCAAAATGCGCGGCGATGCTGTGGACAAGAACTGAGGCAAAAATTGGGGCGATGCTGTGCAAGGAGGAAGGCAAAATGCGCGGCGATGCTGTGGACAGGAAAAGGGCGGCAACGCTGTGGACAAGTAGTAACTCCAAATTTACAGCAATCCTTTGCAAGGATTGCAGAAAGCGCGGCGATGCTGCGGACAAGAACTAAGGCAAAAAGGGCGGCAACGCTGTGGACAAGCGGTAACGAAGCTGTGGACAAGAGGCAACGCCAAATTTGCGGCGACGTTGCGCAAGAAGAAAGGCAAAATGCGCTGCGATGCTGTGGGCAACACGTAACGTAAAATGGAGCGGCGATGCTGTGGACAAGAACTAGGGCAAAGTTTGTTTGTTCAAGTCTTGGCGCGCACGCCATGCGGCGCAGCAACAATACAGAGCTACCCTGTGCGTGGGAAGGGTCTCCGAGGCAGGCAACAGGCATCCGAGCACCCTGTTTGTTCGAGCTTGCGAAGGCGTCTCTTTGGATGAAGTGTCCGCTATGGTGGCGGTTCTCTGCGGATCTATGTCAGTAGGATCCTACTGATGTACACCGAATGCATTTGTTGACCAATGGATGTCCCTGGTGAATACCCTGTAGATGGTATGTATCTTGCAGAGCGCGCCGCCGGGGGCTTTTCAGTATTTCATGAGGGAGTGAAAGTCGCAAGGGTTTGAAGCAATGTGGCGGAATAAGCTTTGTGTGGCCGCCTGTAAACACAAACTCAAAACAGACACAAATTCCTTTGGCACACCCGCATCGAATTCCTGCATACTGTTCAGGCTGAAATTGGCTTCGTCCTGTCTGCCGTATATCAAACATAAATTTGGACTTCCGCAACAGTCACCCGTCCCTGCGAGAATACTCAGAAGAATTCCGCCGACCCCGTTCTCCAAAGGGGAAGCGCATGGGAAGGGTTTGTCTTTCTCCTTGTCTTAGTGAGCATCCGGATCATCATCATTACCGTGGCGCTTCTCTTTTTCATGTATGTTTCAAGTGTGCCGATAGACCCGACTGGCAATGCAAAGGATGCGTTGTCAGGATTGTCATGATGACTGCTGCTGCTGCTGGGGATGCATAGTGATGAGGCTGACTGCTGGTGATGCTGAGGATGCGTAGTGATGATTATCATCAGGATGAAGATAGGGCCATGATGATGAAAATGATGATGATGATGATAGCATGATACGTTAACTGCTGGTGATGCTGAGGATGCGCAGTGATGATTATCATCAGGATGATGGGACTATGATCATTAAAATTATGATGATGATGACGCATGATGATGTGACGATGAGGAGGATGATGATGATGAACATGATGATGATGATGATGATGATGATGATGATGAACATAACGATGATGAACACCACCCATGTTCATCATCATGTTCATCATCATCTGGCTCTCTTCTTTTTCATACACGTTTGTTTCAAGTGTGCGGTTAGACCCGACTGGAAATGCAGAGGATGCGTTGTCATGATTGTCATGATAACTGCTGCTGATGCTGGGGATGCATAGTGGTGATGCTAACTGCTGGTGATGCTGAGGATGCGTAGTGATGATTATCATCAGGATGATGACGATGAACATGAAAATGATGATGATGATAATGATGATGATGATGATGGTGATGAACATGATGACGACATCATCATCATCATCATCATCATCATCATCATTATCATCATTATCATGATCGGCATCATCATCATGTTCATCATGTTCATCATGTTCATCATCATCATCATCATCATCAGCATCATCATCATCATCATCATCATCATCATCATTTTCATCATCATGGTCCTCATCATGTTCATCACCAAAACCGTGGCGCTTCTTCTTTTTTTTCGGAGGTGTTCCTAACGCCTTACTTCTCGCGAAGACGAAGCGATGGCACAAAGTCCACACTTCGCATCCACAGCAATACATCTAAGTCTTGAGAACAAAAAAAGGGCCCCAACATGGTTTTCCTGCCTGAGTTTCCACACACCCGGTGCAGTTCCTGTAAAAATCGAAAAGGTGCTTATTATCATGCGAATTTATCCCGCAGTGGCTTGTTTGAGATGCAGGGAATGCGTTGTCAGAATTATCAGAACAACTGCTGGTGATGCTAAAAATGCAAAGTAACAATTATCATCATAACTGCTGGCAATGATGCGAATGCATAATGCATCATAGTAATAATCATCAGCACCCCTAATGTTGGTAAACAATTGCATCATCAAAAACAGCATCATTATCGTGCTGCTCTTCTTTCCCATATATGCTTTAAGTGTGCCGTTAAACCCGACAAAAAATGCGTAATTGGTCATAATTGTTGTAACAGCGTCCCCTGACAGCAAGCAGGGGCCGGCGGCACAGGGCGGCAGCCTGTCGCCGCTTGGCAATTAGCCTGCTAGCTTTAGCTATAGGGGCTGCACCCTGGTGCCGCCGCCCCTCGTCACTTGGTCGTGATGCGTGGCCTAAATCCGGCACCTCTGCATCACCAGCTCGGGCTTGCGGTTTTGTTTGCCTGTGAAAAACCCTCGCAAAACATCGCGTATATGCAGGGTTTAGGCCATGTGGCTGACGTCATCAGGGTCTGGGGTTGGGCCTGGGTGATGCTTCAGCGCGGCTTGGTCTGCATCATCAAGACTTCTTTCCAAAAAGCCTCTCAACCCATAAAGCACTGTTTTTTAGAAGGTATCGGAGGGATATAAGCGAGGCTCATTTTCGCGCATTTTGGCGCCAAGCGCTGCCGGGCATACCGGCGATGCTAGGTCCTCGCTCTACAAATGTTGTAAATACCGTCAAAAACTGTGCTGAGCGGTGGGCTGTTGTTCTGTCCGTTTTGCTTTTGCTGTGGCTGGCTCGCGTACTGCGCGGTCCTTGCCTTTTTCCCGTTGGTTTTCGGGCCTTCTGGCGCGCGCGCGCGACCCCAGCCACAAAACGCTGCTAGTTACAGTGTTTTGTTGCACTCTTTTTGGGCTGCTCTTTCTGGGGCCTCTGGCGCGCGCGCGCGCGACCCCATGTCAGCCTTCTGGGTTGGGGCCTGGCCATCTGGGGTTGGGGGCAACACTTATAACCTAACCAGCCATATCATAGCACAGGATACGTTGCTCATACAAAAAACATGACACGACGTGGCATAACTTCAAAGAGGCGTAGCCGGCTAGAGGCCGCAGGCCCAGAAAATAATTAGAATGATCATGAGAAGTGCCATAATTTGCAAGCACAATCTTCAATTTCCCAAAGGCACCCGCTCCTTTGGAAAGAACGATTATATTCCAAAGACTGATGATAAGCAGAACCATTAGCAAGCAGGACTCTTGAATTCCCAAGAAACCACACTCAGCCCGTCCCTTCTTGACTGCTCTTGTTATGTGGCCAGATGATGAGTGCGCCTGCAAAACACGTCCGCGACAAATAGAGCGCAATATTCCCAACCACGGCGGGCAGCCCCCCCACCAACTGTACATGTGAACACCCTTCCTAGATGCGACGCTTCACATCAGCCGCTTAGCTGCTGTGTTGCGCTCAGTCATGTTGCTGCCCTAGGCCATCATGTGCTTCCAGCACAGCACGCGTTGGCTGCCAGGGGTTTGGTGCACAAGTCGGCCAAGTTCCGCTCTCCTCTCAGCCTCCGCTGCAAACTGCTGAGCCCGGATCCGTTCCTGGATCCAGAGGTAGCGACTTTGGACGTTGCTGCCGGACAGCAGAACGATCTTGGTCGGGATCTTCCACTCGCCCATCATGGCCTTGAGACCAAGTCCAACTGCGCCAGCCTTCACCAGCGTGTAGAACTTGCTTTCGCCAGAACAGTGCTTTGGAGGTTGCTACTGCGCTTAACACAATGTCTCAAGCATGCAAATAAGCCCCATCGTGGGCTTCCGAGCAACTTCTGCTTCCCAGCTGGAGTGGAAACTGCTTTGCATTCATCTAAGTTCAACGCGCGCACAATGTACTCTGCATGTCTGGGATCTGATTCGTACGCCAAAACACCAGATGCCTTGTCGAACTCAAGCACTCTGTTCAGCACGCACATTGTCGTAGACTCGCTACTTGAAGCTTTCAGCAATACGTTCTCAAGGAAGTCGATACATCTCCAACGCCACGAACTCATCGCCGTGGACCATGAAGCGTTGGTCGTGTTCCTCGTGAAAGAACAAGCCCGCCACGCACTGCTCGATCTTGCTCTCCTTGAGCATGTTGGAGTTTGTCTCTTGCCATACGCCTGCAGCCCCCATGGCGCCGTACATTGACTTCTTCAGCAAGGCACGCTTGCCCGCGACTTCTTTGCCCTCAGACAATGTGCAAAACACTCTCCTACGCGCGAGCCCGTAGAAATGGCCTCTCGAACCTCGATCGCTGACCCTCTTGGACACGAGCAAGGAGCAAAGCACCTTCAGCGATTCCAGAGGGAGCATCGCGCTGAAGCTTTCATGTTCTTCACGGACGGCGTCTCCCTTATTGCGCTCAACCAACTTTAAGCTGATCGGCGTCCAGTTTCTTGGTAGCATAGATCTTCGTTGACGTAGTAGGCATCGGCCCACCTCTTCTTCCATCAGCGCAGGCTGTCCTACCGGATCTCTGTCCTGGACCTCGCCTCTTCTGGCTTTGAGGCCCTTTGTTTTTCAGGGCATCCCGCAGAGCTTGTTGAAGCCCACTCCTACTTTTCAGGAAGTCTCTTCAAGCTTCCTCCTTTGATCACGCCCTCCTCGGTCATGATCAACACATCGCCATGTCTTCCACGGGCCCCCAAACACAAACCTTCCTAGACCGTCATACGGTTCCTGCACATAGGTCTTGGGTGGCTTGAACCACACTCTTTCTCCAGACGTAAGCGAGGGCTTCCACCTCCAGTCCGCGGGACCACTCGTAGGAACCGGGATATCGCGTCTTCCGACCCAAGCCAGAATGGGGTGCCTGGAGCTTGCTCTCCTCAGGGATGACCTCAACTCCCTTTAGTCTATCCTTCACGGCGATCGAATTCTTGTTGTTGGATTTGAGGAGAACGACACTATCCAGTCTCCTCAATTCACCGCATAGGGGTCATTGCCCTTCTTGGGGACCACACGACTCCGAGACCTCTTTCCCATCTAGAAGTAGTCTAGTGAAACTATGGGGATTCCACGTTCACCCTTGCCTTTATGGCCTTCTTTCTCGCGCCTCTCGTGGAGTTCTCTGGCCAGCACGCAGCGCCCACACCACGTGCGATGGATTGTGTGTCCAAGCGCTTCGTGTTCTTCCACCTCGTCGGCAGCAGGCGTGACCGGCGATCGTAGCAACTTCGGCTTGCGACCGGCCTTGTCCTTTGCCGCCTCCTCTCCTTGTGGACTTACAGCATCTGAGCCTGCCGCCTGAAACCCGGCGACATACGCTGCTGCTATCGCAATGCACCCAGAGGTCAAACAGGTAGATCCTTCAGTCCTGGCACATCTTGGTGACATTCTTCATCTGCGGGGTGCCGCCTGGCAAGCTGAGTTGGCCTTTGAGCTCACACGCAGGTGCTTCAACAGTCTCTTCGGGACGGCGGTGACAGCTCCCGTGTCAAAGTTTGCAGAAACCCATTCTCCACGATCCTCACGGGATACTTCGATCAAGCAGAGGCCCTTCGCCTGCGGGGCCTTCTCCTTGAGCGCGGACCCCAGCAGCTCCAGTTGCCAGTTAGCACTCGCACTTTGCCACTTCGGCGGCTTCTGTCTCCACGCCAAAGCCACCTCCAATCTTCAGCGTGGCTCTTCTCCTCTTCTTCTCCTGGGTTCTTCTCCTGGAGATCCCCATCAGCTTGATCGTCCGACGCATTCCCAGCCCCGAGGCCATTCCGACTGGTCGAGCCGTTGGTGGATGAACCAACCAAGGCAGGGCTTCAATTTGCTCCTTCTTGGTCCATCGCAGCCGCAGAGATTCCGTGGGGTCGATCTTCGATCGCATCCTATCCTTCTTCTCATCGGGGTACTCATAGAATGTGCTGGGACTGACCTTGTAGTGGAGGCACACGGTGTGATCGACAACGTGCTCGAATTCGTGCGCAGGTGTCCAACGAGCCTCCTCAGGTCCTTTCCGCCTTTTCCATTGCCTGGCGCACCTTTGCCGCCACTGCCGCTGATCCTTGTTGGCTGGTTCCACCTCCAGCACTCCAGCACTCCTTCGCGAAATGCCCAGCGTTTCCGCAATTGTGGCAGAGCTGCTGCTGCTTCGAAGAGTGGGATTTTCCTTTCCTGCCTGACTTTCCTCCTTTCCCTTATGAGTCTATTTCTTTGCCTTCCTTGCCCTTGCCGAAGCCGCCGATCTCCATGACGGTCGGAACATCTTCTCCACCGCCTGAGTACGAGCACGCCTGACGCGCGCGTGCCTGTCCAAACACATCACCAACTCGCTCCGGACATCGGCACCTGCCTGTTGAGCTGGAGATGCTTCGCAACGTCGGTGCCATCTTGACCTCCTCATCCAGCTGATGACGAGTGCCATCAGTCCTCCTCCAAGACTCGTATCGCCTCACAGACTCCTCCAATACTTCGACAAGTCCTGGATCTTGTTCACTTTCTGGGGGTTCAAGATCTGACGGCGTGCTCGGGTCATAGCGCTTCACCGGTCGCCACCATGATTCCAGCCCTTGGCTCTTGCGCGCGGACCGCACTATCACAAACGCCTCCCGCTCACATGGGGTCTGCAAGAGTGCGTAGAGCTGCGCGTGCACCTGCTCGATGTCCTCTATTGTCTTGTGAGTGCGGCTTGCGGGGCCCCAAGCATTCTTGATCTCAGTCCTGGTGATCTCGGAGTCTTGCTCCTCCCCAGTCCACAACCTCCTCCCTATCAGCCATGGACGCCACGATGAAGCTCTCGAGGCGCACCCTAGTACAGGAAGGCTTCTTCGGCTCCGGTGAACTTGTCGGGCTTGGCAAGTTTGTTGGTGTCGAGCAGTGAACTTCCTGCCAGTCTGCTGTCGCAAAGCTTCCGCCAGCTCTCTCTGACTGTGAGTGATGGCGGCCAAAATCTGCCCCAAATCGGCGATGGACACCTGTGGGCCGTTCTGTGTTGACTGTGATGCCTGTTGCACCTGGCTCCGCTGATTTATCTGGGCTTGCAGTAGCGCTCTGGTCCTGGCTCTGTTGTTTCAGTCCGGGGCTTCCAGCAAAATACAGTTGACAGAATGTCTGCCTGGGATCTTGTCCTTGGCTTCCAGAGGTAGATTGTTGGCAAAATGCCTGTTTGGCATCTTCGGCCCTTTAGTCCAGGGTTCCTAACTAGAATACAGCTAGCAGATTGTCCTGACCTTCCTGATCAGGCCCCGCCGGCCGACGGCATGTCTCTCACGCGCTCTTCTGGCTAGCCACCTCAGCCCCCTGGCTCCGCCGACCGAAACAGTCGACGCCAGCTCCAGGTCACTGGCGCAACCAAGAGCTCCGCTACCATGCACAAACAATATGACCCACAAACACACCCCTAGAGCCGCGGCGCACTGTTTCTTGAGCCAAAACAATGTCAAGCGGGTTATGGCCAACTGTACATGTGAACATACATACATAGATTACATCGATTACATACAGTCATGCACACATACATAAACATGCATATAAAGAACCCTTGCCGGAGAGGAACTGGTGATGCTGAGGATGCGGGAAAGCCACAAACCAACGAAAGTGTACAAAAGCAAAAAAGCCACCTGCCAGAGAGGAACTGGGAATGCAGCGGATGCGAAACAAGAAGCTGAAGAGCCAAGCACAAGCCAAAAAGCCAAAAGCGAAAAAGAGTCCAAAAAAAGCGAAGCAAATCCGCAACATGGAGTCTGGAGTTGATCTGGAGTTTATCCGTTTCTGGCGAATGCGAGACCTCAGGATGCCGCTTCCAGGGCGTGGATGCTGCCACTCTTGGTGCCTACATGCATCCGACATCACCACCGGAAAATGCCCGTCGAAATCTGAATCCGAAATATGCGTCCATGCCAATCCATGCCAATCCATGCCAATCCATGCCAATCCATGCCAATCCATGCCTGCCAGCAGGAAGAGCCCTGTGTCGTCAAACTTCAGAGCTCTCACCTCTGTCTCCACCTGGCGACGAATTGACCGTCAATTACATCAAACTTCCATGGACTGTGACCCACCTTCAGCTTCTGCAAGACCAAGCCGTTCTGCACCTTGCCAAATTCAATACATGGCGGTGTCTCAAATTCCAAAGGTTGGCGCATTTACTAACCTCAGCACTGCGTTGGAGTTGGCAGCCACGAAGACCTGATAAAGAAAAACAGTGAAAAGTGGTTGCACCAGGTCACCCTGCCAGCCTGTGGGTTGAATGGCAGGAAGGTGGCTACCGGAACTGGCCTAAAGCACTTCCGCAAACATGGGACACGCGTGGGACACACGCATCGCTTGAGCATTGTGTGAGGCTCATGCGAAGAGTCTGTGAACACTTTGAGCATCTCTCCGGATTCGATGCTCCAAAAGCGGACCGACCTCACAAGAGACTAGATGGCTTAGCGATTCGTTCACTTGAATCACTGAATCATCGACTTGGTCTTGAATTTGACAAATGGGAAGGCCTTCCGCGTCCAAGAAATACAAAAAATATGCAAAACAAAATAGAATTCCTTTGCCGCACTCGATTCAATGCTGGGATTCGCGAGTTGAAAGAGGCGCCGCCAAGTCCGGAGATATCCAGAAGATCCAAACATATCTAAACGACACACCCGTCACAGGGAGGTACGCGGCACGAATTGTCAAAAGACGTTGAAAACATCTTGAAAGCGTGACAGAGCAAGCACACAGCCATCAGATTCCCTCTTTGCCGACTCAAAGGAACTCCGAAGCGGACTGGCGGCATCATCCGCCAGCTGGGCGCGCGGCTTGTCGATGGAGGTGGTGACAAGCTGATCTTCAAGCAGGTTGAAGAAGATGGAAGTGATGGCTCCTTTGGTCGTCATATGTGCCGATCCTATTGTAAGACTCTCTAAGCCAACTGCGGGAATGTCCAACCAGTCTGGAATGCACTGCAATGTTGGAGTTGTCCTTGGCCATTGTGGCGCAAGAAAACACATTGCGACGCATGACGAGGCACTGCTGGTGGATTTGAAAAGTCGTCATTCCTCCCGAAATCCTGGTCAGAGAGCATGGCCTCGAATTCCCGACGAATGCGACGAGCACTTGCCCCGAAGGCTCGAGCTCGAGCTCGACTCGGCGACTCTGAGGCTGCTGCAATCTCCATCTCTGTCCGATAGCATCGGTACACCACGACGGTGCCATCCTGACGCGATCACGCGTCTGTAGCGTCTATTGCGTGTCACGTATCACGTATCCTTGGAGGCTGTGGCGAGCAGCACGTACGCCTGTGCCATCTTTTCAAGCCGTTTGCTCTTGTTTTTCTCTTTTTTGTTCGCATCTTTTCGCATCATTTAGCATCTTTTAGCATTCATGCCGTACCTTGTGCTGACGTTCTTGTCCGAAGCATATGCAGGTCACGGCCTCAGGCATGGCCATCACTGGTCTCACACATCTCAGGCTCCGGGGCTCCGGCAGACTCCGAATCCTGCAGTTCCTGGCAAAGGCCCAAAGGCCCAAAGGCCCAAAGGCCCAAAGACTGGGATGGGAATGCGAAGCTGCGAAGCCATGACCTGCACTGGACGTAGATCCATGCTAGGATCCGGATCTTTTCGAGCCTGCGCGCAAAATCAAAATCATGTCATGGATCACAAGCTACGCTTGCGCAAGTCACTTCGTCACTTCGCTTCCTGCTTCATATTCTTGGTGCCCTTCAACGAAGGCCTGCCATTGCACGCAGTCAAATTGAAGCCGCTCGGAGAGAAGAAAGTCAGAAAGTCACAAAGTCTCAGTTCGGTCCTCAGAATGCCCGCACTCTTGCTCCGGTCTCCGCCAAACCAAGATTTCACGGAGTCGATGGCCATGGAAATGGAGCCTTCGAGCCACGAGATGTCCCTGGTATCACGAGTCACATGGGGCTGTGACTGCGCTTGTCCGGGGAGACCGCCTCCACCCCCTAATGGCGAAAAGCGAAAAGACGGCCGAAGCAGAAATCAAAAGAAATCGGCCACTCTCGCCTGGCCATCGTCGGGCTCCTCTCAATCCGCTCGGGATCGGCCGAGTTCCGGCTGTGCTCGCTTTTTCTCTCGGCGTTTCCTTCGTGTTTCTTTTTCTTTCCTCGCGCTCCTCGGAGTTGATGGCGAACTTCACGGCGTCCATGAGGTTGGAGCTTTCGAAGGCCGAGCCTTCGGGGTCCGAGTTCGCGTCAGAGTTCGGAGAAATCCGTCCGGAGTTCGGCTCGCCTTCAGCTCGCACCGCAGCGTCTTTGGCTGCAGCCACATCCACCTGGCTCTCTCGGCTCTGTCGGCTTTTCCGCGGTTCAACACTTTCTCCACTTTCATCAACTCACTCTCCGCCTTGATCTGGGCTCCCCTCTCCACATTATACCTGGAGATCGGTCAGATCGGTCAGATCTCGGTCAGATCGGTCAGATTGGTCAGATCGGTCCGATCGGTCGGCAAAGACCCATTGTCAATTGCCGTCTTGCAATGCCGTCGCCATTCGCAATGCCGCCATGGCACTTGTTGCCAAAGAGCAAAGGTCTGGCGCCCGCTTCGTGGACCTGACACGAGACACGCCAGACATGCGAGACACGTGAGACACGCGGGCCTCTTGTGTGAGTGCCAGGGCAGTGTCGAAGGACTCCTTCTTGGACCTCAGTCTCACTCAGGGTCTCGCTCACGGCGAGAGAGCTTGAGTCGCAGACAAGTCGTAAACAATAAAAACCCAGGTCGAACGGCCGAAGCGCTCTTTGACCAAATGCGCAGCCTCAGGCCACATGCGTGGCACGTCTTCTTGAAAACTCGAAGGAGCGAACCCTGGCATTTCCGGAACAGTCGAGAACCTTCACCAGCTTCTCACCGACCTACTATGACAGCGAGCTACCATTGCGCCCGAATGCGAAAGGGGCTTTGTTGGCCATGCGCCGGTGCACGGGCACAACCGCGCCTGGATCTGGTGGTGTGCCATGAAGTTGCTCTTCTGCTCATTGAACTTGGGCAGCTGCTGTGGGTCCTAAGGAAAATCCACGAGCAAACAGCATGACAAAGTCCACGGAGCCGGGCGTGCTCGGCGATCAAGGCCTCCAGCCTGAAGTGCCAAGTGCCCGGAAGAGTGCCCGGAGAGGGCCAGCGGCAAGCTGAGGCCGCGGCAGAGACGTCTTGCCGGTGCCCGATGCCCCTGCAAATTGGATAAACACATTGCGCTGCCCAGTCGATCGCCTCGTTTGGCGACACACTCCGAGGCGCATCGCATCGCTTGTGCGCTCTCAGGTTTCTGCTTGGACGCAGCTTTGGGTGCTGCTCCAGGCAGGCCAGAAACGGACCTCAGCACGGCATCCGGCCGGGCTGGCCTCTGAGATCTTGGCTCCCACTGCATGGCCGAATTCTTCAACAGCTGCTGGTATCGGCCTGCGCACACGTTGGGAGCCGCAAAGTGCAAATACGAAATGAAGGTGTCGAAACTCCGTGCGAAGGCGCTGGCCTTCGGTTTCGTGCAGCTGCTCCTGCGGCTCTCTTTAGTTTGGACATCATTTGTCAGGTTGGGGTTGGCTTTGGGACATGAGCCGAAGCTCCTGCTGCTTCACCGAAGCTGTCTTTGCGGACGTCAGGTCCTCCTTAACCTGGCTGAACTCCGATGCACCTCGCGTGCCTCGGGGCACTCCACCTGCGCCATTTCGGTCTCCTTGTCTTGCAGCGACTGCTCCAACTTCTTCAAGCCTCCATCTTTTCGCTCTCGTGGACTCTCGTGGACTCTCGTCTCTCGACTCTTGGCCCTGAACTCTCGGTCTCCACGATGATCTTGGAGTCTGCTGAAAGCTTGGCTGCTTCCTGGGCCTGGACTTTCACCTTCGTGCGCAGGGACCGAGAGCGCGCCCGATTGTCGGCGTTGTCGGCGTGCCTCATCCATCTGAGACTTCATCTTCTCTACAGCCTCTTCCAGCTCTTTCACCTGAATCCGTTTGCTCAAGGCTCCAAAAGGCGAAGGCTGCGAAGGCTCAAAAGGCAGGTTTGAGACGCGAGCCCTGCCGAGCAAGCTCTTCTTCTCGGACTGCAGCTGAAGCTGAATCGCCTCGAGCCTGTCGAGCTTCGGGTGTTCGCGTCAAACTCACAGACACTCAAACTCAGACACTCGCACAGACTCGCACAGTCTGACGGCCCGCGCTCTTCGTTGCGCTTCCGCAGCGAAGACGCCTGCTCCTGGGACTCGACTTTTCCGAGCCGTTTCGCATGAGCTTTCCGCTGCAGTCCTGCGCCTTCTGACTCTTGGCCATGAGCCTCAGAAACAGTTCAATCTTTCAAATTCAATTGCAAACATCATGCGCAATATGCAAGTCTTTACGGCTCTGGCGCTCCCACCTTGACTCGAAGCTCTGGCACACTATGGCACACTTGGAAAGGGCAGTCGCCTCCTTCGCTTCCTGCTTTAGTTGCTTCATCTGAGACTTGGCGGCATGCATCCGCCATCTCTCCTGCCATCAGTTTGCTTCTCAGCACTATTTCCATTATTTTCCAATCAAATGCACGTCGAGTCATCCTGTGCCACGTGCACAGCCAATCTCAGCTGCTTGTAGATTCGTTGCCTCGGCTCGGCCTTCCAACAAGGCTCCGCCCTTCCAACGAATCGATTTTGTCGCCTTGAAGGATTTATTGTCTTGCGAAATCGAGTGTGGATGTCATTTATTTTTCTTCCTACGGATTCTCGGGTGTCTCGTTTCTGAGTTGATGGCACTCTCCACCGTTTCCAGCAGCTCTGAATGCGCGTGGCATATCTCACTCGCTTGAACTCCTGGCACCCGAACCAGGCAACGGCCGAGAGAAGACATCGGATCTCTCGAACTCATGCCTTGGCATACTTCCGACCAGTCAGACCTGAGCAAGCGGACCAAGCATGTCCGCGGCAAAAACTGCAAAAGTGCAAAAATCAAGTTCCGGCCTTTTCGCCACGCTTGGATTCTAATCACCTGCCCAAAGATTTCATGGCCGGGTGCCAAAGTTGACCCATCGCCTTCTTGAGCAACGCCCGATACCGCTTGCGCGCCTCAAAGCTCTCACGTGTGTTGCATCTTGCATGGAATCGGTAGTGCAGCTGCGTGGCAAGAAACTGGCGGCCAAGGCTTTGGATCCTTGTCGCAGCGCCTTCTTCCCTGAGGATCCCGCCATCCCTCTCAATTTCACACACTCCCTCTTACCTCTTCTTCATGAGGTCGCCCTGCGCCTGCTTGCTCCCTACGAGACAAAACAAATCGCACACTCCGTGCACTCAGTGCACTTCGTACCCGGATGCCGAAGTCTCCTTTTGCAGGAAAGCGGCGAAGGATGGCTTGCAGGTGCCGAGTGAAGAGGCAAATAGCCTCACATGATGCTACCGATATCCGGGCTATCAACTGGCCAGCAAGGCCTTGTACTTGTGCATCTGCACATGCCGTCTCCAAGCGGACTGCCACATGCGATTGATCTCCACGCAAAAAGTAACTAATGTTAATGCCTACACGCATCTTATCCGACGACAAACAGCGTTTTGGACACCCCAAAATTTGAGAAATTTGAGAAATTTGCGCAGAAAGCTCTTGCGCTGCTGAGTGCTTCCGAGACAGGCCAAATCCTTTATAGGGGACATGCTGCACACAAACCTCGGGGTGGACTCCGCACTCATCGCACCAGCATCACAGTGAATCACACTAGCATCTCGCCATACTAGCATCACCGATGACGCACCTACAGTCTGCCAAGCGTCACACACTTTGCTCATGCTCGCCGAAACGGTGCATTTAAAAGCAACATCTCCTGCGTATGTCATCAACAGGTACCTGTCAATGATGCGAGGGCGGCAGGGTTCACGCGAAAGGTCACTGCTTGCGTCCTGTGGCGGCCTATCAAGAAGGAAGCACGTCGGTAGCATCCGCTCATGACGCACAGACTTGTAGCTGTGCCGGTTCTAACACATCACGCACTGAGCTATCCGCCCAGCGAGAACATCAACCCGGACAAACGAAGGATGTTGCTTAAAAGGACTTACGTCCTGTGGGCAATGCAAACACTTTGCGAATGAACCGAAAATGAGGAGCAAAGGAAGCACAGCCAGCTTGATTGCTCACATAGCCGCTCAGCTGCCTTTCCCACGCATGAAAGAAAGCATCCCGAGGCAAGCACATGACCCTGAGCCCACAGCACCCCGCTGGTTCCTAAGGACCACCCAGAGGCTTGATTGCGTCAGCGTCTCCACTCACACACAACCACTTGGCTGCGCAGTCCTGTAACATTGGCAATTGGCTGCGAACTTTGTGGTTTACATGGTTTACAGGTCTGCTCGTGTCACGTTTACTTCATTGCCCTTGACTCAGTTCCTCTCTCCCCTGAGTGCTCATTACTCTTGGCATCTTCGCTGCAAAACTATCAAACCGACAAACGATTCTACCTCCATGTGCGTAACGCGCAAGTCTGGACGATAAATCATCCCAAGTTTCGAATAAGCCTGCAACATGGCGAACCTGGAACGAACCCGCCTGCGAAGACGTGCGTTTGTGTGCTTTCTGCATGGACTTGACGTGGAAGTGCATTCAAAGTTTGCAATGAAAGGGACCCCCCCGAGGGGCAAACTTCTCACACGCATACATACGATATCTCACGATATACCACAGGGCAGGCGCACCGGGCCGGGTTGGCTTATAGTTCGTTTGTCTATATCCAGATATTTTAACACATATGAGCCAGCGTCTATATTTGCTGTGTGGGGTGTATTCATTCTACTTTTAGTGAGTCCCCTATCGTTCTCCACGTTTCGCGTGTTCGTGCTGTGCCCGATGAACCCTCTGCAGGGATCGCGCGCCTCGAAGCGCTCCCACTGTGGCGCCGTGCGAATTTGTAAAGCGCCCGATGAACCCTCTGCGAGGATTGCGCGTGCCACAGCGCCCTCGCTGTGACGCCGTGCGAATTTTAAAACTGCCCGATGAACCCTCTGCAGGGATCCTGCGCGCCCAAGCGCTCTCGCTGTGGCGCCGTGCAAATTCGTAAAGTGCCCAATGAACCCTCTGCGAGGATTGCGCGTGTCAAAGCGCCCTCGCTGCGACGCCGTGCGAATTTGGAAAGTGCCCGGTGAACCCTCTGCAGTGATCCTGCGCGCCCAAGCGCTCTCGCTGTGGCGCCGTGCAAATTCGTAAAGTGCCCAATGAACCCTCTGCGAGGATTGCGCGTGTCAAAGCGCCCTCGCTGCGACTCCGTGCGAATTTGGAAAGTGCCCGGTGAACCCTCTTCGCGGTGACCACGCGTGCCCAAGCGCTCTCGCTATAGCGCCGCGCGAACTCGAAAAGCACCCGACAAACTTTCTACGCAAACACAGCACTGGAACCACACGCGTAGTCTTTTGTAAGCAAATGCACTAGGCCTCACATTTGCAACTCGGGCCAACGCTCGGGGTATCGACGGGGTATCGACCGGGGTATCGTTCTGGACGTGTGTCGCGTGACGAAAATTTTCACAATTTTCCATAAGCTGTTAGAGCCAAGCAAACACACAATAGCCTTCTCTGCCTTGCGGTAATCATATATCAGTCTTGGCGGCTTGCTTGCTGGCAGCAACCTCAAGGTCGCAAGCCGCAACTTTCACCACAAGCGCAGTGCACAAGTTACACTTCGGCAGCTCCAGCTCGAAGGTCGCAGATTGCGGCGGTCACGTGTCAGTCTAAGCGGCTTTTGCTTGCTGGCAGCAACCTCCAGGTCGCAAGTCGCAGCTTTCAGTACAGGCACGGTACACAAGTTAGACTTCGGCAGCTCCAGCTCGAAGGTCCAGCACAAACCATGTTCAGGGGTATCGTTTTTTGTGAGTCCCCTATCGTTCTCCAAGGAAAATGCAAAAAACCAGTATTGAATGAAACGCCGTTGATAAAGTGGTCTTTGATAATTCTGAGGTTGACTCATATATTAATTTACATGTTCTTTCGATGAGCAACACCTGCGACATGCAAGTTTTCTGGCGACCTGAATCTGTGTGGCGCTCTTCACCATCAGCTCCAAGCGAGCGAACCTCGGCTCCGGGCTCCGGGCTCCGTCGGGGGCCCTATGGGCTCTACGGGCTCTGCGGCCCCGGCTTGATGCGCTCGAAGGCCGGCAGCTTGAAGAAGACCAGCGTCTTGCCGACGGCCCACGGCAGACCTGAGACGCCCATTGGCAACCCGGCCACTTGCCAATTGCCAGGCCGATTGCGTGCCAATTGAGTGCCAATCAGCCAAATTGAAACTCCCCACTTGAGCAACCCGACTCCAGCCGGGAGCCCGGCCGTGCAGCGGCTTGGGCACGTGCAGCTCGGTGGTAAGATGCTCCAGCAGCTTCTGGGCTCGGACTTTGGTGTCGTCCACGTGCTTCAAACCTCACAACGTAGCTGACATGACAGAAGTATGACTATTATGACTCTAGAAACCTCTTCGATGAAATTCATGCAGGCCTGCGATGATCTGCGGTGAGGCAACGATCTTGAAGTCGTCCCAGCCTGCGACGCGGCGGCGCTCTAGGAATTGCGCCATCAAGATTTGACAAGGCCGGGCACTCCACAACTTGTTGAGTCAATGCAAGGGGACACTTTGCGGTCGAAAGGGTGCCACAACAAATATCAAGGCCAACGAACAACACACTCTCCAAGCAGCAAGCGTCCCAGAATATTTGTGATGGTTCAGGCCAGCAGCTGGTGTGAAGTTCATGAATTTCAACATTGGCCGCCCATTGGCCGCCCATTGGTCGTCGAAGGCTGCACTGACAAATTGCCGATCTGAGCTGTTCCGAGGCTCGGGCATTCCTGATGGTTGATGCGCACGGGATAGCCAGCGCGGCTAACTTGGACCACCTGGCTGTGTGGTTTACACCTGCAGCTTCAACGCTTCAACTTGTCTCTTTTTGGACGTGAAGGCAATCTCTGTCATACAGGTCCGTCTAGATTTCATATGCGATTCTGCCAAGACTTTGAAAAAACAAGTACAGTACCAACATGGAAGAAGTGCTTGAACACAACTTTGGTGCGGGCCTCCCACTAATGGGCAAGTGCCTCGCTTCTCTTGAAACTTATAATGTATCAGGCAGAATCCTTGCGATGTTTGGACACGCGCAGTGGTGCCGTTTCAGGGCTTTGAAGCGGAAGATCTGCTCAGGAGAGGCAGAGTCTGTGGCAACCCCACGCACAACCTTGCCGACCTATATTTGAAGCGGTTTTGACATGGGTGCTGCGGCCAGCTTTCTACGCAGAAAGCGCAGCCAGGAAAAAAGTAAGCTGGAAGACGAGGCGACTGCCTTCTTTCAACACACTCCCTGGCAGCTGGCCGCGATGTCCATGGAGCCTTCGGGCCACGCATCGCGACTTGCGACTTGCCCCCTGGGGGCAGCGCCTACCTGGAATTGCAGAGCGAAGCCATGAAGCCATGAAGCCATGCTTCTGACAGAAGCGAAGCTCGCCAGTATTCTGAGCGGAGAAAGTGCAAGGCGCTTGCTCTCCGGTTGCTCTTCGGCGCTTTGCCCAGAGCGCAGTCGAACTTGGAAGCTGCGGAGTGGGCAGCTTGTGCTTTTGGAACACCTGGCAAACCATCCTTAACATAAAGGGCGGCCTGCGATGAAAACCCTCAACACCACAGCAGCTTGCGTTTGCAAGAGCCCTTGCTGAAAATGTAAAGAAACAATGCTTTGCTTCCATCCTTGAGGTGAAGCACTGCTGCAAACAGCACGTTGTTGCCGCCCGGCGAAAGAAACAGAGCTTGCGGCCCTTGCGGGGGCGCAAGACAAAGACAGAAACTGACAGAGCCTGAAGTGCTTGACGCCGCAGGCCCACAAGAAGGCGAGAACCCATGGACATAGAGTGTCACCTTCGCTCAGCTCGCGTGTCTTGTGGGTTTACCGCCGCAACCAGGCACCGAACATACCCAAGAGTTCCTCATTGAAGTGGCTCGTGCGAAATAGCTATCGTGCAGCCAAGGAAGAGCAGCTTTGCAACTCGCATTCGAAAACAGCGTGACGCGCGCTCTCTGCACACAGGCGACTCATGCGCCCGTAAGTCTAGCAGTGCTAGGAACACCAGTATCGCTTGCAGTACTAATACTATCAGTACCACACGTGCTACCAGTAGTACCGGCAGTAGTTGTTGTAGTAGTAGCAGCAGTAGTAGCAGTTCAAGAACACATAGCACTGGCACGAGCAGTGCTGCAAACACGAATTTTGCTTGTAGCACGTGCAGTACTAGTAGCACTGACAACACTAACGCTAGCACTAGTAGAACTACCAGCAACGGTAGTAGTACCAGTAGTACTCATAGCACTAGTAGAAATTTCACTAGCAGTACTAGTAAGCAAGTAGTACTAATATTACGAGCAATGCGCACATATAACCTCACACTGGCTGAGCGTACCGCGATGATGACTCCCAGTGCACTTGACACAGGTACCACAAGGGGCAATCTCAATCATGCCGCCAGCGCCTCATGATCACAAACCATTCCCGACACCACAACGTCTGGCAAGAAACCCATATCGGTGGAAGCAGTGCCAAGACAAGAGCTGCACCGCCATTCTTGATCCAGGTTGTCTTGCACACCCCGCATGCTCAGGCGCAGTGTGACACTCCAAAGCTTTGACAGAACCTGATTGCTTTCATGGAGTTCGGCTCCATGTCACTCACGAGCTCACGAGCTGAAGCGCTGCGAAGCGCAATGGCTTCGCCCATGCGACGAGAGCGAGGCACGTGCGCGCAGCGAGCGCGCAGCGAGCGCTCTCGCCTGCAGCACGCCGCCGTAGCGGAGCTGCTCCGTCACGGCCTTGCGGTCGTACTTGTCCGCCCTGAGCGAGCGAGCGGAGATCGGCGATCAGAGGCGATGCTTCGATCTCCTCGATCTGGGCCCCAGGCTCATTCTGTGGGTTTGGCTTGATGCAGCCTCTCTCGAAGCGAATCGTTTCTAAGTCCTGTTCTTCTTGCTTTCGATTCGCAAGGCTCGGGTGCGGGCGCACAAAGTGAGGGTCTGTAAGGTCAACTATGTCCATGAGGGAAGAGAGTTGATCCTGGCTGAAGTTGTTCTGAATAGCAAAGCTCAGGGTGATTGTTTGGAGTTTTGTGCCTTGAACTCAGAAGAGACTGTATATTTCTTCTTTTTCTTCGTCGGACCTGCTGCTTCCTGGGCGCAACAAAGAGCGCGTCAGTTGCACAGCCAGGTCTGAAGTCAGAGCCTGGGCTTCGTCCTGGCGCTTCGCATACGCTCATGCGGCAAAAAAAAACTGATGGAAATGGTGCAAAGTCGCAAAGTCGCAAAGTCGCAAAGTCGCAAAGTCCTTGTTCAGCACCTCACTGTACTTCACGTCCTGAGACTCGAGCCATCCGGAGACGCAGGTCTGACGGTCTGACCACATGCCGGAATCAAACTGGCCTATGTGGAGTGCTCGATCCATCGCGGCTAGATTGAGGCTACCTTACACTGGACACATAACAATGCGTACGTTGATATGGCGCATTTGCAAGACCTTGGGAAAAGAGAACTCTACCTGGAAATCAACAGGCTCTACTTGCACACAGGCATGACAAGTGAAAGTCCAAGGAAACGATCTGGATGGCAAACTCAGAGCAGGACACGATCCGGTGAACCGACAGGACAACAATGAACAAAACAACAGTGAACTTCACAAACGACACGCCGGTGACGACTTGTGTCAGAGAAGCAAGGTTCTGGAGCAAATCAGATCTACACATAGGGTCACAGGCAAAACCATCCTTGAAAGGCAAATATAAACAGCACAACCCAAACAACAACCATATCTACAACCAATGCCCAATCATCACAGCCAGAGTCGGTGGCTAAGGGGCCGTGTCAAAATGTCTGACAACATAGCCATCCAATACTTTTGGCTCTTCCCGTCTTTGAGCCATGTCCGAGCCAACTGCGAGTCTAGCTGACAGTTTTCACGCGGTCCTGCTTGAAGAGATCCACGATGAAGCCGTTGGTGCTGGAGCCCATGCACTCGATCAAGTCCTCAAACCGTGTCCCCGACAGGTCCCCGACAGGTCCGATGGCAAGACGTGAAGAGGGGGGGGTGGGCTCAAACGCTAATCCACAGTTTCTGAAGGCGTTGCTCAAACGCTAAGCTGGAGTCATTGCTGAGCTGATCTTTGTTCTTATCCAGGAATCCATCCGAGCCTCGAGCTTTTGGCCCATGTCTGGCCACTCTTGGCAAAACCGGATGCAAGCAAAGATCTCCTTTCAGGTGCTGGCAATAACTCACGGGACCCGCAAAGTGCTTGATGACAAACCTTTGAATCTTCTCAAGCAAGGCAAAGCCGCAACGTGCCGCAACTTTCTAGACATGTAGTTGGTATCCAGGGCACCATGTAGGCTTCGTCTTGATCTCATCGAAACGCCTGTGTCCTGTCACAAATGTCTTCTCTCTTCGTTCTCCCGAAGTTCTCACGGAGTTCTCCCGGTCCCTTGTGCTGCTTGATGAGCTTGTTGCAGAAGCCCTGGTCCGAGCCCTGGGGCACCACCTCGAGGCATCGCCCTTCGGGGGTTTTGGGGGGGGCTGGGGGGCCCGGATCTCAGCCCAATTCTTGCGAAGCCCCAAGCCGAGTCAAGTTCAGGCTTGGAATCTGGACAGCGGCGGGCATTCTGCCCGCGGCCGCACAATTGACCAGGCAAACATTGGGAAAGCTGCTGAGGCTGTTGGGCAATGCATATGGGGACATCTGGACAGCACATTCAACATAAGCGAATACCACAACAATTAGGCAGTTTTCCTTCCAGTACAACCACAGAGAAACACATGGCTTGATGTTAAAGCACATTCAAAATCACACGTGTCCCGGAGAAAAAAATGAAAAAAGCGTCCCCTGCTTTTCTGAGAATCTAGCGAGTTCCCCAATGTCCCTCCCAAATGGACCATACATTTTTCCGAACCTCGGCACCTTGCATGTGTGCGCGTGTGTGCATGTGCGTGTGTGCATTGGAACGCGATGACAATGGACCCAACGCATCATGCAACGGGCAGGCCGGCTGTATCACCTTGGGTGAGGCTCTGGCACGCAAATGTTGAGACATGAGGGCCTTTCTTTTGACTTGCATCTCTGCAGACTTGCGCACGCAGCATGAAAGGTGATATCTAAGATGTGTAGCTTCAAACTTGCATTTCTGCAAAACATGTGTCAGGTGCTGATTCCGTTATTCGATGCAAACCAGCCCAAAGCAGGCCTTTATTCTTCACCTCGTACGCATGTAGGATATGCAATGATACACAGGTATCCAGCAACAAAGATGCGTACATATAGATGCAAAAGTATATATATATATATGTCATCCCATCAAACCTAAGCTTCAGCAGTCTTCTGGTCGCTTGTTCAAAATAGACTATTATTATCATAAACTGTTCCTCATGGGCTGTCACGGAGATATGCGTGTCTGTCTATTACATCTCTGATATTCCTTGTTTTTATACTCTTCCTCTGTGATTAGTCTTAATGACAACCTTTTTTAACCTAATTCACTTATTCAAGGTCATAATCCTTTCTTAATTGTCCATGTTTCTTCTTAATCATTTCCAAATAGAATTTACCTGTTTCGCTTGATGGGTGACGACTTAGTTTTCACCTTCCAAGCTTTGGATTTCATTAAAATTCGCTTGTGCTTCTTCCATATACCTACGCTTGTTGCGAAATATAGCATAATATGCTTGTTGCATTATGAGATTGTAGTTGTTCTTGTCATTCCTTCAAACATGTACAACTTGTTTGATGTGCTTTGTTGTCTCCTTCAGAATAGTGATGTTGAGCTGATTTATATGCTTTTTCTTTCTTGGTTGGCTTGTTTTGGTAACCGGTTTTCTATCCATAACTTCACTGATATGTGGTGTATCTTTATGTTGTGGTTCTGTTCTTCTCTTTACAACATTGTCATAGATTCCTATCTACGACGCATTAGCAATTGCTTTTTATCAATATGCATTTTTAAATACTAGTTTGATTTTAAAAAAAATGTACTTGCTACGTTATTAATTTTCTGTTTACTGTTATTATCTCGCTCTGCCTGCATATTATCGTAACGGTCTTTTGCAGTGTCAAATACCTTGTCAGCGGTTGTTTCTAAATGCTTCCACTCTTCTTTCTAGTTCTTGCACTTTTGGAAAATCGCATTTTACTCTGTCATAAACAGCTTGATTGAATTCTTCTGTTTTTTCCCTCGTGCGTAGCTTTGCTACGAATAACTTTGTTAGGGTCTGGTTCTTTCTTCTCACGCGCAATTCGTCTATATTTGAATGTATACTTTGTTAAATACCTGTTGCACGTCGGACGCTCTACCTTTTCCGTTGAGTAAGCTTTAGATTTTAACTCCTTGTTTAGTTCTTCTTTTGGTTCTTCTTTGGGTTCCTCTTTTGGTTCTTCTTTTACTTATTCTGTTGGTTCCTCTTCAACAATAGTATTATTTTCCTTCTATTCTTCTTCAATGTTAGTAGCTGTTTCTGGATCTTTGCTCCCTTCTTCTTTATTGGCATCTACTGTTTCAAGATGTTGAATCATATAATTAGCATATACGGGCCTCTTTATTGTCGCAACTCAACCTTTTAACCAATTCTCTTTTACAATCTTAACCCCATACTTTTCAAACAAACCAAATGCAGAGACATGATAAAAATGTCCTTCTAAAAACTTCAGAAACCTAGGAAAATCAGAACCTTTTTCCAAACATTTCCACAGGAGCAGGCCGAAGCCAATCGGCCAGAAGAACTTGCGGCAATGGCCGGAGAGAAAAACGAGGGCAGAAGCTCCAGCGCACCCGCAGCACAAGATCAGGAGAGTGCCAACACCCAGCCCCAACAACAGCAACTCGAAAGTGCTGGCCCTATCAGGAAACGGAGCTCTCGGGCTACCTCCGCTGAAGTGATCCACATACCCTGACAAAAAGAAAAGCTTCGGCCAGCCGCACCACATTCAACTTCCAAAGGATACCTTTGACATATTTGAAATGAAGACGACGCAAATGATGCATACTACCATCATTAGCATCGTTTAGCAGAACCTGATTATCATAGATTACATTCCCACACCCAGCAGTAACAGGGATTTTACGAAGGACACGAGCAACTCCACAAGGCGCCAGTTGGTTTCCACTTCTTAAACTGTAGCTGGTTAGTAAATGTGTTTCATTGGTAACAAAGTAACAAAACCATTAACAAAAGGGCCGGGGGCATAATTGATGCTTCAACAGTGTTTCCTAAAAACATATTAAAAGACATTTTGCATGACTTCTACCATGATCAACAGCAAAACCACAGTTGGTTTGCAATTCTTCATATGTATGAACTATGTATAAGTAAGCAACATAGTTACAACTTGTAGTTATGGTTCTAGTTATAGTTCTTGCTGAGTAACTACAACTAAAAGTCATTAATTTGCTTTGCATTTCGTAGCTACCTTTACCTGAAACAATAAACGTTTTGTCCGGGGCCGCTAGAAAAAAGCAGGAACCCCTTAACCCTAACCCTTTGGGGCTCTATTTTTTCTAGCAGGCATCAAAAATCAATAGGGGCTAATAGAAAAAACTTGAACTCCAAAACCCTAACCCTTTGGGGTTCTAGTAGGCCTTGATAAAAACCAACAGGGGCCAATAGAAAAGACTTGAACCCCTTGACCCTAACCCTTTGGGGTTCTAGTTTTTGCGGGTATTGATAAAAGTCAGTAGCGGCTACTAGAAAAGACTTGAACCCCTTAACCCTAGGAAGGGGGCTCATCTGTGCCCACATTTTCGGCTCATCTCCGCCCGCACAGAAGTGACTCATCTGCGCCCACATTTTCTGACTCATGTGCGCCCACAGATTCTTTCGCGAATACATAGAAAGAAGTTGACCCTTTGCAAAAAGGGGTCAGCGGAGGATCATCTGCGCCCACACTTTGGGCTCATCCCTGCCCACAGAGAGTTTTAGGGTCTTTTGGGCGTAGGGTCATTCGGGTGTAGGTTTTTAGGGTTTAGGGTTTTTAGGGCTAAGGGTTTTTAGGGCTTAGGGTTTTCAGGGTTTAGGATCTTTGTTGATTAGGGTGTTTAAGGTTTAGGGTTTTTAGGGTTTAGGGTTTTTAGGGCTTAGGATCTTCGGTGTTTAAGGACTTTAGGGTTTGGGCTTTATAGGGTTCAGGGTTTTTTGGGTTTAGGGTTTTTAGGGCTTAGGATCTTTAGTGTTTAGGGTTTGTAAGGTTTAGGGTTTTTAGGGTTTAGGGTTTTTAGGGTTTAGGGTCTTCAGGGTTTAGGATCTTCAGTGTTTAGGGCTTTTAGGGTTAAGGGTTTTTAGGGTTTAGGGTTTTTAGGGTTTGGGGATTTTAGGGTTTAGGGTCTTCAGGGTTTAGGATCTTCAGTGTTTAAGGTTTTTAGGGTTTAGGTTTTTTAAGGGTTCAGTTTGTTTGGGGTTTAGGGTTTGTAGGGTTTAGGGTCTTCAGGGTTTGGGATCTTCAGTGTTTAGGGTTTTTAGGGTTAAGGGTTTTTAGGGTTTAGGGTTTTTAGGGTTTGGGGATTGTAGGGTTTAGGGTCTTCAGGGTTTAGGATCTTCAGCGTTTAAGGTTTTTAGGGTTTAGGTTTTTTAAGGGTTCAGTTTTTTTGGGGTTTAGGGTTTTTAGGGTTTAGGGGTTTCAGGGATTTGGATCTTTAGTGCTTAGGGTTTTAGGGTTTAGGGTTTTTAGGGTTTAGGGTTTTTAGGGTTTAGGATCTTCAGTGTTTAAGGTTTTTAGGGTTTAGGTTTTTTCAAGGGTTCAGTTTTTTTGAGGTTTAGGGTTTTTAGGGCTTAGGATCCTTAGTGTTTAGAGCTTGTAAGGTTTAGGATTTTTAGGGTTTAGGGGTTTTAGGGTTTAGGGTCTTCAGGGTTTAGGGTTCTTAGGGCTTAGGATCTTCAGTGTTTAAGGTTTTTAGGGCTTAGGTTTTTTAAGGGTTCAGTTTTTTTGGGTTTAGGGATTTTAGGGTTTAGGGTCTTCAGGGTTTAGAGTCCTCAGTGTTTAGGGTTTTAGGGTTAAGGGTTTTTAGGGTTTAGGGTTTTTAGTGTTTAGGAATATTAGGGTTTAGGGTCTTCAGGGCTTAGAATCTTCAGTGTTTAGGGTTTTTTTCGGGTTTAGGGTTAAGGGTTTTTAGGGTTTAGGGGTTTTAGGGTTTAGGGTCTTCAGGGTTTAGGATCTTCAGTGTTTAGGGTTTTTAGGGTTAAGGGTTTTTAGGGTTTAGGTTTTTTAGGGTTTAGGGATTTTAGGGTTTAGGGTCTTCAGGGTTAGGGTTTTTAGGGCTTAGGGCTTTTTAGGGTTAAGGGTCTTCAGAGTTTAGGATCTTCAGTGTTTAGGGTTTTTAGGGTTAAGGGTGTTTAGGGTTTAGGGTTTTTAGGGTTTTGGGATTTTAGGGTTTAGGGTTTTTAGGGCTCAGGTTTTTTAAGGGTTCAGTTTTTTTGGGGTTTAGGGTTTTAGGGTTTAGGGGTTAGGGTTTTTGGTTTTCAGGGTTTAGGATCTTTAGTGATTAGGGTGTTTAAGGTTTA